TGCAGAGTCCTCGCAGCTCGCATGCCCCCATAGCAGATGCCTCAACTTAACACCTCTGCGGTGCCGTTCGCGGTGCTTCGAAGTGGAAGCACCGGAAGACAACGTTTGGTGGCAAGCTGAGTTCGCATTGCCCTGCACAGCAAGACAGTCTTGAACAGTCTGCTTCAGCGACCGTGTTGGGGGGGGGGACTGTTGCAGTGTCCGCCCGCCGGACCACAGCAAGCAGAGACGATCTGCATTCACGACCTGTCTTGATTGCCGATAACGAGAATTGACAGCTGCACCGTTTCGTGGAGTGGGAATCAGTGGGAATGCCACAAACCGAAGAAGAGATGAATGTCACTGTGCTGCTTATGGGCGTTCACCACTGCACAATACCGAACAGCACTGCATGGGCTCTCAAACAGACCACCACGACAAAGGCAGAAATCGTCCTGCTCCATCTGCGCCCTGCTGAGCTGATGCTCACAGACCTGCGCACCAGCTGGGCCTTGCCATTCTGTGTCGGTCGCCCTCCCAATCCCCGCCTCCATCCGCAGTTGCTCCTCCTGTGCTTGGCATCGCCGTAGCTCGAGCTCCTGCACAAAAACCCAAGGGCCCGACAAGCTCCTCTGTAAAAACGGAGCGGAGGCAAAACGCATGCCTGCGCCTCCGGGGCTTGCATGGCTTGCAGCGGTCTGGCCTCTCTGTCCTCCACATCTTCGTGTGCTCTCTGTTGATCGCGTTGCATGGGCGGAGAGTCCTCTCCATCGGCGTCTCCAGAGGCAGCGGCACAGGAGTCCTCTGACAACAGCCGCCGCCAAAATCGATGCGCGAGCACTGCGGAGAGCACTGCGGCCCTCCCCGCCCCGCCGCCTCCAGCTCTCCTAGACGCTCGCTGAGCACGGCCCGCTGCCTCGACTCTCGGCTGCTAGAGAGCCAGGCTCTCCCAACAAGCAGCAGAGCAAGTACTCCTTCTCATGCGTTAATGCCAGAAAGATCTCGATGCTTTCAAGGCTGACGCAGCTCTTGTGCAAGGGCTTCTGAGGGTTTCTGGTTGCAGGCCACGCTAGGACTCCTGTCCTACAAGGCCCTATGTGCGTCGCCGGCCTTCGCAGCGTGGCGTTCTCGCAATGCAGGTCTGCCAGGAAGCTCCGGAGCATCCGCACGCGGCCCCTGACGACAGCGCAGAGGCTCCCTGCTGCGCTGCGCGCTGCGCGCTGCGCTCGCTGCGCTCGCTGCGGGCGAGGCTCTCGAGCCGAAGACACGTCTCTCGAAGCTGCTGCTCCGAGAAGATCTCCAGGCCCAGGGCTGGGTCGTCCCTGTCCGACGGAGCAACAAAGAGAGTTGCGCGGCGGCGACGGCCTCCCCGCGCGCGCACGCTCCGCTCCGGCCTTCTCATCGCACCGCCCTGGCGGGCAGTCTCGAAGCCCTGCAGCGTGTAGTCAGCTCTTGCATGCAAGTCTGGGAGGGCTGAGGGGGCAGTGCAACTTGAGGCTTGAAACAAAATGGAGAGCAAAGCCTGGGGCGAAGTTGAAGCCCGCGCGAGCGGGCATCAGTGGCTACGTCGTCTACGGATTGCTGCTCTTTCACAAACGCTCTTTGAGGTCTGTGCTGACGTCGGCTCCGCTCGAGCTTTCACGCTGCGAAGCATTGCGAGCAAGCTGCCAGTGCCCGTTCTGCAAAGAAGAACGAGTGCATAGCCCGTTTTCGGCCGCTCATTCGCATCCCCACTTGGAGAATGCAGCGATGGCCAAGATGACGCAGAGCAACCTCAGAGGCCGCGAAGCAGGCTGGGCCGGCAAGGCCGCAGGCACATCTTGCTAGCTCGAGGCGGATGCATAGCAGAGATACTGTTGCTGTGGCATTCACTACTAATTCGAAAGACTTGCCCTGCCGCCCTGCCGACAGGCTGCTGGTAGAGGAAATGGCTCAGCATGCCGATCAGAAAGTACCTCCACCCCAAGAGTCCAAGAGCAGGAGGCGCAGAGAGAGAGAGAGAGAGANNAGAGAAAGAGAGAGAGAGGCAATTCGGAGCGGCACTTGTAACCATCATTGCGGAAGGAGTCCATCTCTGCCGTGGCATCTTCCACCCAGTAAAAGAAGACTGGATGTCGCGCCTCACCAATACGCTACAAAGGGGCGGTTTTGGCAACTGAGATCTTGCCTTGATGCTGTAAGCTGCTTCGGCCTCAGCACAGCCATCGGCAAGACATGAGACTCTCCTCTCCCTGCAGATCCCTGCAGCCTGCTCCACCGCAAGTCGGTAGAAGCTGCGCTGGCGGTCGTCTAGCAGCCTTAGGCCGCTGTGGGCCTTGAAGTTCCCGACTTCACCTCCAGCGAGCTTGGCCTTTTCTGGGCGAACCGATAAGATCCATCCAAGCCCCGTACCACAATGGAAGTCTGCCGCGTTCACGGAGCAGCAGTCCATGCCAATGGCCCAGAAATCATAGGTCTCCAGCGGAAGAACCACGCCGCCTGGCATAGAGACTCTGCACAAAATCTGACTGAACTGTGGCAAAAGCCACAGCCGACCTTGCAAAACGGATACTGGAGCGACGCAGTAGGTGTCCACATTCTTAAAGGCCATGGATCTCCTGAACAGACGCCGGGACGCAGGCAGGACGCAGGCAAAGCAAGCGAAGTGCACAGCGCCTGACATCCAGCGTGGCTTCCTTGCCGAAGTACACGCGACCCACTGACATGGCCGCTTCACCATCCCATTGCGCAGGGCTCACCTTTGCCAGGGAAAACACATGTTCAAACCTTTCTGCCTTTCTGATTGCACCTCGGGGAGGACGTCCATGTTGACATACTGCGAAAACCTCTGCCAGGGCGGTGCACAAATGCAGCACCGCGACAGCACCCGCTCGGGTGAGTTTGGGGCGGATCGGTGGTCGCCACGTAATTCAAATTCCCAAAGACCACCTGCGCTCGCCGCGGCTGTGGCCAACAGCAGTGGGTCTGCTATGTCTGCTCAGGGGCCCTGACGCCCAGAAGCCAAGCGAGGAGCGTGGTGACCTCCGCGCAGAAGCTCGTGCTGCAGTGCAGCAGTCCAGACACGTTGCACCACGTCGCCAAGCCCGAAGCTGCCAGAAAACTGTACCAGCTGGGCTGGAAACTTTGGAGCCGCATCGACATCCTGCCGGAAATTCGAATTGCATCTGAGAAACGATGTCCGGATTTGAGATTCCAACCTGTCCCATGCATCCCTCGCGCCGGACCCCCTGTCCCCCTCGCCCTAAGTCCCGCCCCGCATCCTCGCATCCTGTCTCGCGGTCAGGATGGACGACGGCTAGGGTCCATTGCAAAGGCCATATACTTATATAGAAATCCGTGCGGCCGTAATTTCGGCCAGTTGCCGAAGCGACTGAAATTTCAGCAACTTGAACACATAACAGCAACATAAAACTTAAAGGACCGGATAACCCCACATGCGTATTTTAGCGAAACGGTTGGCAGCAATTCCTGAAAAAAAGGGAGTGAGAGCAAGTGAGCGAAAGGTAAGCGAGAAGAGTGAATGGGTGAGGCGTGAGCAGGACACGAGGACGACACGGACGAGACGGCGCGGACGCACGGGACGGAAAACCATGAAGCATAGCTGTTTTGAGCTCATTTGCTGCACAATCAAAGTCAATGCCGCAGCTCACGGTCGATAGGTGAACCGCGCTTCTCATTTCGAGTCGAGGCGGGCCACCAAATGTTGCGCCTGGTAAGAATTCCGAAGCGCGCTTGGAGGTGGAGGGGCGCCACCAAATGATGCGGCTGCTAGCAGTCCCGAAGCACTCGGGGAGCGGGGGGTGAAGTACCGAATGTTACACATTCCGGGCATTCTTGATTGCACGTATCACTTGCATGTTTCCGTGTCTGTGTGCTCAAGGTTCTAGCATAGCAGAGTATCTGGACTTCAGCCGGATAGCTGTAAAAGAGACTCTTGTGTGCTTGTGT